TATATACAACGCAAATTTGAAGAAAGGGTTAAAAGAGTTCAAATTAGGCTAAAAAAACAAAATCAATTTTTCGATTATTCTCGATAAAAACGTTATCGGATGATTTATCGAAAAAATATGATAAACTTGTACTGCGTATGGTACACACGAGTATGCATGCCGAATTTCAGCTCTCTAGCTCTTATAACTTCTGAGATCGACGCACTCATACGGACTAACGGACATGGCTATATCGACTGCTGAGTCAGTCAGCTGATCAAGAATATATATACTTTGTAGGGTCAGCCACGCCTCCTTTTGCCCGTTACATACTTTTTCACAAAACCATTATACTCTGATTTCCCATTGAAAATGGGTTCAGGGTATAAAAGACACGCTAGTGGACTAGGTCTCCAAAATAGGGCACTTTAGTTACTGTTTCTCGTTAACCTAACCTAACCTCCTTTTCTTTCTATTAGTTCAAAATAGTAATTCTGATTCGACTTTATATTAATTGGAATGGGACTTGCTAAATATTCTCACATGAAGCTGTCTTATTTATGTCAACAAAATATCATAGAGCCCTAAGGAGCTAACATTTACTTTATACAGGTTTAACCTCGGTCTTGAGTCGGATCCCATTCCGGAATCGGAATAAGTGAGCAATTACTGTTATTCAGTTACACTTTTTATACACCATCGCATACTGTATATGTCTATCATTTAAGCTTCTTTGAATTTGTTTAAAAATGTGGATGTGTGTCAAGACCATTCGAGAAACTAATATTTTATAAACACTCCAAATGTAACAACCAAATTACACATGAATCGCTGGTAGGGATTGTTATTCTAAAATTTAAGTTCGGTGCATGGTTATTGTAAAAAGGATTAATAAAGTCAATAAAAGTTGATTTTCATGTATTTTTTATTTGTTTTATAGTTTACAACTGTTTAATTATGTATATATATATACATACCATATATAGGTATTGGTATATTAACTAATAAAGTAACTGATAGCACTCTTTTTATTTTATTTTCGTAGGTTAACCTTGCTTGTGAATAGCTTTATATTTTATTATTATATGTCTATAAAGATACTTGTACGAATGAATCTACTGAGCATTAGCAATATACTATATATTCACAGCCAATTTGTTGACGTATAATAAATATATTTAATTTAGTTTTTCTCGATTGTTATACATATATATATATA